TGCAAGGGGAAACCCATGCTTTTGCACATTTTTCTGGCACTTGCTCGCAACCCTCTGAAATATTCTTGTGACCCACTTTTGGGTCGTGACCCACAAGTTGAGAAACACTGCTCTAACAGACAGACATGTATGTGCCTGCAGCTGCTGTGCCCAACTAACCATCACCAGCTCCAAGGACAGGCTTGTACTGCCAGGCTCCTGAGGCTACACTGCCCACCAGAGAAGCCTCAGGATCAGAAGCCAGAGTAGCATGTACTGTCAGCAGAAGGCAGGTCTCAATACCAGGCAGAGTGGGGAGCCTAAGAGGCTTCATGGTGGGCTGCAGAGATGTGTAGGGCATGCAAGGAGAGAGGTACTGTACCTGTCGGCAGAGCCGGCTGTCATGTGAACACTCGAGGCATCGCTGATACAGCTCATAACAAATGATGGGCTCTGGTAGGGCCTCCAGGAAGATGAGGAGCGCTTCAGCCACAGAGTGGTTGCTCCCCGCTGTGCCATGACAAGTCAAGGAGCACTCGCCCCACTTGTGAAGTAGCAACCTGAACTCTGGACTTTGCCTCTAAGACAGCTTTCCTAAGCCGGCACCTGCCAAGATGAAGGCAAGGCTCCATCATCTCCTTGGAAAAATAGGTCCCTCCAACACAAAGGCTGGATCGTTACTAGGGAACAAGCTGATTCCTGGAAGGAGAAAAGAGTGAGGAAGGGAGAAATAGGGCTCAGAAAGGATACGGATTGTCTCAGGAATACTGGTGTCCAGGCAGTCAATGATCTGCTGCAGCTCCTCCTGCATACCGGGAGTCTGGAACAGGTCCTCCTACAAAGAGCAAAGCCATGGCAGGTGGTAGACACAAGGCCCTTTTGAAAGGCTCCAGTGCAGAGAATGCTCAAGGAGGGTTAAAGTCAGAGCTGGGGCTGAGCACTGGTATAACAGCCTAAGCCAGGGGGAGCCACCCTGCCTTAAAAACACCCACTGGAAGTCATCTGCTAGGTGCAACCAATGAACCAGGCCTGGTGTTTCATTTCAACCCCCAAACCCCACCAAGCTCCCCAAATGGAGCACAGGACATTTCCACACACCTGGTGGCAAGCATTCTTGAAGAGGTGGTCTACCAGCAGCCAGATCTCCTTAGGCACCTGCAGGGGTCTCTCACTGGCATCCTCGCTGTCCTGTGGGATCATCTGGAGAAGTGATTTCTCCTGACAGCAAGAAGCAGATATAGTGACAGGCAGCCCTCACTCTGTTACAGTGCAGAAGCTTACACATGACATCAGAGACACCAGGGAGCTAGACTTACTCACTCCCACAAGGCAAGTCTACATATCAGTTACCCCCATTAGTCCCTGACCTGCCATGCCCTCAGGTCATTCCCACACTGTCACTCTCCTGGCGCCAACTCCTCACACAGGCTCATGTAGTGAACTACTACCCCACATGGGATCTGTAGGATGCAACTTCCTCCGCATTCTACTCTCCTCATGCAACATCCTTTCCCTCAGTCACTGCAAACAGCCTTGCCAGCACAAAGCAGCCCAAGCCTCTTGTACAATATTACATGAAGTACTGCTAGCAACTGGGAATAGGAAAGGATCCAAGCATAGGTGGAAATAAACAGCACTTTTAGGCTACTTTTCTCCAGCAGAACAAAAAGTCTCCTATGCAATACACCTCTTTCTAGATCACAACTCACCCTGAGCCTCCAACTGTACTGACACAATGGTGCTTAAAATTTGGGCCCTGCAAGCCAGGTAAGTAGCTTTCGGGCTTATCCACAAGCCAGATCAGGCTCCACATGCCTGGATCAGCCCTATGCTGCCTCTGCCAAGCCTGTGTGCAGTTGAATTAGCCCTGCTCTGCCTCTGCCCAGCTGAGCTCTGACAGGTCTACCTTGTTGAGGATCCCTCCAGAACCAGGAAGTTCCCTGCTGGTCCAGTCCACTTGCACAGGTTTCCTCTTAAAGCAGGTAGCATGCTTGAAACAGTGGTGAAGCTGCTTAAATTACACCAGGGCAACACTGGCTGGCCCCATAATCAAGAAGACAGAGCAAGAACCATCTCATATTTGGTGTGTAGTGTGCTGTTCAAGTGTCATCTAACCCAAGGGCTCTAAAATGCCTTTCTGAGGATGCGAGAATTAAACTGGAACATGGCCAGAACAAGATGCTGAAGCCCAGCCCAGCAGGATCATGGTGATGTGAAGGAAGCCACTGGTAGATGTTAGAACAAGTGGCCTGAATTGCCTTGTCTGCCTGCTGGAATGGGCAACAATCCCTCCATTCCATCTCCCCAAAGAAAGAGACAACCCTATGTCTTCACACAGCCCCACATCAAAAGACAATCACAGAAGTTGAATTTCCTGCTCGCTCATTTGCAGACAGAGTCCCAAAAACTCCGGGCTGGGCATGTGGTCATCTCTCACCCTCACAACAGCCAAGGCACAGATGCTGCTCTTGCCTCTCAAGTTCTCTTTCTGTGGCACATTGCAGGGGTCTCAGGAGGGATGTAGCAAGCAGAGCCAGGAATTCAGGACTACCATTAAGGGAGTACAATCCAAGGATATAGGAGAGGCAGCTCACTGCATGCAGAGTGGAGGTGAATGCACTGGAAACACCTTACATGAACTTCAGAGTAAAGTTCTGCAAGCAGGTTAAGCCATGTGCAAGCACAACTTTAATAAGCCTACCCCAAATAAACAATCCAATGCAAACTGTACCTAGGGTTCAGACTGTACATAACAGGTCCCTCTCCTCTCTTCAAACACACGAGGAAAAGACCCTCAAGTAGTACATTTAGAATCCTCAACCCTTCTAGCATGGTAGAGGTTGGAGTTTGAAATCTGGACCCAAACCTAATGGCTACAGGCTGTCAGGTAAAATCATAACTAAATGGATTATGCGGCAGAGATGGCTACAGTAAAAATAAGACAAGGTTCCAGGGTGACTTAGAGCAGCAACCTGTTGGAAAAGGTGGCACCAGCAGCTTCTGAGATGGGTGAGGGGCTCTCTGGCCTACCTGAAAGGGTATTCTTCATCTTGGCTTGTAGCTGTAGCTATCTGAAAATGTAGATATCACCTCCCTGCTCTGCTGTATATCAGAGTACAGTGACGTACCATCTTCTTTTCTCTTTCACCCTGTCCCTAGTACCCAAAGCTTGGAAAAGCAACAGCAGCACAACTCAGCAAATTTAAACAGGTTACTTTCCACCCCATCATCCAGATCGCTGTTCTAAAGATAGTTTTGCCCAAGACTCACCATATTGTCTCCAGCCTAAAATGCTACATTAATGCCAATCCAGACAAATATTTTTAGTTACATGGAAACTGTTTAACAATCTGCAAGGCCAGATTTGAACCACAGTTCTAGATTCAAACTTTGTATGACATACACAGCCTGAACCCTGGATCCAAAACAGCCTTGTTTTGAGGTGGGTTCAGACTCCACATTTTTCTAATTCTGTAAGAAATATGGAGAAAGCATGCGATTGCATTTACACCACTGTTACAGGTAGGCATGAACTTAAATTTGATCTCTCCTAAAACTTGAACAAAGTGCATTCAGCTAACTTGTGCTTTAGAAGAAACATAGTGATTAAAATATTTTATACTTCAGACATTTTTAGGTTAGTGATAGAAACTGTTGTGAACACTAGTCTTTACCGTATCATATGCACAGCCTATCTACTGAGGGGTGGGAATTTTTTTTTTTTAAAACATCACATTTCTGAAGTGTCTCCAGCTCTGTATGGTTCTGTGCCAGCATGCCCTGCGGGCTGTTTTCTGGTTCTGACTCTGGTACTATGGGGCTGTTCAGGACTTCTGAACTCCTAACATTGCCTGCTTCCCACTCAAGGGAAGCAGACCAGAGAGATCCCTGGGAACTGCTGTGTGATGGCTGAGTCACATAGCCATTGCAGCACTTCCTTGTGAGCTGAGCTGGCTGTCACCACGATGAAGCAGATGACCTTGCATGGCACCCTTAAGGGCAAGTCAGTATGGCCTGTAAGTCAGCTGCACGAAGTGATCTGATCCAGCATGGTGGCAATGGAGCAGAGGACCCCATGAAGCATACTTTAGGGTGGCAAAGCAGATGACCCCACATTCACTGACCTATAAGAGTGCCGTGTGGGGGCATCTGTTTCATGCAATAATACTATATTATTACAACTATAAGTTGACCCCACATAGAAATTGATTAATTTTTATGGTTGATTTTGGAAAACCAGGTTGTGACCCATAATCAGAAAAATAAGGCAGTCAGCAATTGGAGTGTCAATTTCAGTTTGCAAACACAGGGATATTTAGAGGCATCATCCCAGCTCTGTTGGGGTTGCTCAGTTCCTGGTATCAATGAGATTTACCAGATTGTTGGTTTTCATACTACTGCTGCAAACATCTGAGAGAAAAAGTCTATCCCTTGCAAGTGCTTTCCCCAAGCCGCAGCAAGGGCCTTCCCTCTCATCTCCCTGAGCAGACATGTTAAGATGAAAACAGAACCACTAGCCTAAGTTGGTCCTTAATCCAGGCTCCTCCTCTTCTTCCTTCACTGTGAAATCCAGTTTCCATATACCGATTAAGCAAATTCCAAGGTGTTAAAGCCAGATCAAAATTTCTAGAAAGACCAACTTTGGGGCTAGAATCAATCAGGAGAATTTTTGCTCCAAAGAAAATTTAGTGAAGAATTATAAGCAACCGAAACGCACAGTCTCTACCGTAACTAGAGCAGCGTTTCTCAACCCATGGGTCACGACCCAGAAGTGGATCGCAAGAATATATAAAAGGGTTGTGAACAAACTGGATTCTCCTTTAAAGAAAAATGTGGGAAACTGTGGCTTTTCCCTTGCAGGCTTGCAGAGTTCCAGCCTACAAGGATCTGTTTGCCATGGGGGGGGAGC